CTGTCTATGGCAGGATAGCTGCCAGCCTGGACACCAAAGGCCACATGCGAACCCAGGAGCAGGTTTGCATGAAAATCAAGTTGGTCTGGCGAGCCCCCCGAACCCTGATCCCTGAGCTTCCCCTCCCCCTTCTTCCCATTGCTTCCCCCTTCCAGCTCCCTCCTCCCAGGTTTCCCCCTCCCCACTTGCACCCTCTCTCTTCCCCTCTCCCTCCTCCTTTTCCCAGTCTCCCCAGAGGTTCATCCGCCCCCAGTTTTGTTCAATAAACCCAGTTTGTATTTTTGAACATACGTGTCTTTTATTTGACTTCAGGAAGAGGGGTTGGGGGGGTAAGTGGAAGGACGTGAGGGAGGAATGGGGCACGAGCCCCTGGTGAGGAAGACTGGGGAGGCCCTGAGGGCTCCTCGGGGTGGATGCTCTCCCGCAGGGCTGCCTGGATCCTGACAGCCCCCCGATGGACCCCTAGATGGCAGCCTGCGGCAAGTGTAGTTGGGCTGATGGCAACGACCCCATGAGATGCACCAGTGTGCAGAGAGGCCGCTCTGGCTCCATGTGGCTTAGCGCTGTGGTATCCCGAGTGCGGGCACTCAGGGCACTCCAAGCCAGGACTGCTTTGCTGTCCCTCATTGCAGCAGACAAGCAAGCGGGGAACCCTGAGAACTGTCTGTCTGGGGTGGGGGTAGGGTCCCTTTAAGCACAGAGCTCAGTTAGCCTCAGGCAGCAGCCCCACACACTAAGTCCTAACCTGATGCCCTGCCGGCACTGGGTCCAGCCAGCGTTAACTTCGGTTCAGGGTCCACTCAGTGTGGACGTGCTATTTCGAAATTGTTTTTGTGTATCAATGCATTATTTTGAATGAGCTTAATTCGAATTAACTATTTTGAATTAAGTTAATTTGAAATAGCGCTGTAGTGTAGACATACCCTCTCAGACTTACACAGTTACTCCTCTGAGACTGTTTTCTCACGATGTCATCCTGCACCATCAGGTAAACAGCAGTCTTCTCCTCCATGCCACCAGGAATTGACCTCCTCGTGGCTAAGGAGTACTGATGGTGGGGAAGCTAATATTGTTCAGGGCAGCAGTAACATGTGATGCAAACAGCACCTTCTGACCGTTTGAACTGAAAGGGGAAATACTAGGGATGTCAATGTGTAGTCAACTACATGATTAACCAACAACCCTGGGCTTATCAGTTAATCTTCTTAATTACACTCACTTCCTCTCCCTTTCT